GTTTATTACCTGTGCATAACTCTGATGTCTTGCCCATTTCAAACTGGTTATCCAGGCAAATCCCTTATTTCTGCTCCCTGGGCAGGTCTGACAGGTCGGGGTCTGAGTCAATGGAGGGTGTCATTAAAGTCCCTAGGAGATGAGTTTGTTAAAGAAAAGCCATATGTGACCAAGTCTGGGCTATAAAAAGGAGAAACAGATGCAAAAGTTCAGGGGGCAGAAGAGTTGGGGAGTGAGGAGAGATCCAACAGGATGGACAGACCCTCCCTAACCACAGTGAGGGTGTGGGGAGGAGGAGATATTCTGCCCATGGACTTCCCAGTGATGCAATAAACCAACCAAGAGCAAAAACTTCAAGGCCAGGCAGAAAAAAGCACTTTGAAAACATCTGCAGGGCTTAAAGCAGCAGGTCCTGTTGTCAGAGAAGACAGGAGCTCTTGGCAGGCCCCTGGGACACAGTGGGGTGTCATCCCTGGCTCTTCAGCTTTTCCAGGTAGCTGCTCCTGAAACAATGATTTGGGTTTTGTTGTTTTTTTTCCGTGGAGGATACAACATTTCCAGAAAGAAAACCATTCCCTGTCAGTCAAACAAATGTTCTGCTGAAACAGATCAAGGCCAGCTAGGAACAGACAGGATATTATGGACTGACAGCACTTGTCCTTGTCAAAGTCCTGTGGAGATTCAGTGCAATACTTCAGCCCATTCTGCAAAGCAGCTCCTACATGATCCAGAAGACAACACTGCCTGCTGTGCCTCTATCTGCAGGGATTCAGCCTCCCTGGCTCCAGCTAATCCTTCAGGTGCTGGAAATCCAGGGAGCAGCACTCACCAGGGGCACAACCACCTTGTTTTCCTTCTTCGATTCCACCTCTCAAAGGCAGCACAAAGTGTCTGCCTGAAGGATGAGCAGCTCTTTCCACAGGGAGAATGCTGCAAAGGTCTTGGAGCTGCCTCCAGGCTGAATGAGAACCTCATGTCCTGGGCTGAATTTTGCATTTAATCACCACCCACCTGTTGCAGCTGCACATGGGCTGTGTGTGCCAGCACATCCATCCTGCTGCAGCACCCGCTGGAGGAGCAGCAGCACCACAGCCTCAGTTGTCTCCTGAAGGGAAACAGGGTGTAAATCCCAGAGCAGTGCTGTAAGACGTCAGCACTGCCCTGCAAGAGTGGAGAACTCGTGTTCTCTCCTCCCCAAATGCAGGCAGCTGGGAGCAGGGGAGGCAGGAGCTTTGCAGCAGGAGAATGCACCAGAGTGGGAACTGCTGCTGGAGAAGTTTGTGCTGGTCAGGTCTCCCTTTTGGTGCTTGGGGGATGTTTTGTGCAGGATGGATAAAGCACAAGGTGCTGTTGTCACAGGGGGAAGCAGAAGCTGGAATGGCAGTGTGTTGGCACTTTGAAAACATGACTTGTCCCTCCTTCCTTCTCCCCTGTTTAAATTCTCTGTCGCTGCTTT